TCGGCTTGTGAGGGAAGATTTACAGCTAATAAACCAGCTTGAAATAAGGGGAGGAGAAGTTCCCAAGGAGGCAGGTGTGAAAGCTGAGGACGGGAGCCGGCGGGAACAGGGGGGTTGGGCGCAGTGCGGGTGTGTGCCTTGAGGCCTGCGCTGGGAGGGGGTGCGAGAGGGAAAGGCTAAACAGAAACAAAACCCCCTGAACCATGTCTCATGTTGTTCTCGAGAAAGGGTTTAAAGTGTTCTATGAAAAATCAACTGCTGGTTTTGCTTTGCTTCAAAAAAGATAGTATTCCAATCCCTACATCGTCTGCTGAAGAATGAAATTGTTTTTGAAAGGTGGGTAGATGTATCAAACGCCCCAGAGTCCTCCAGACCCTCTGCCAGGTATGTGTCTAAAAATTCACTCCAAGCTTTTCTAACAAGGTAGTTGACACTAATTTCTAACTGCGAGAGGGAGACGTTTGCCAATGCCAGTACCAAGATGTATCTGCATCTTCCCAGTGGGGACAGACCCAGCATGTTCCTGTTAGACATCCCTAATATCAGGATTGGAAGAAAATCAAGCAAAGAATCCAGTACATTGCTTGCACCCACCAGGCAAATCGTATCCTGAACACCACTGACTCCACTGACTGCATCTGCATCAGCTATAACAAGAGACCTGGATACTTTGCTTAGAAATGATAGATATCTAAAGTTAAGTAAGATGAATCCCAGTTAGATTTCCCATTGGGGAAAAAAAACTGTTAAGTGGAGATTGAGCTTAAAGTTCAGATTTGGAGTACCGTTGACGTCAAACGTGCCCAGTGCCCCAAGGAGAACGAGGTGTGCGTGCGCAGTGGCGTTAAGGCGTTGTTCTTCAAAATACGATCTGTAGAGAGGCTGATGCAATAACAACAAAGAGTTTCAAGGTAGTATACTGTGGCCAATGAACTCAGCTATCGTAAATTTGAGTCATACCCTTAGCAAGCTTCCATGACTGAATGCTGCACTCCCACTGGCACTGCCTTTTGAAGTTTTTCTAGAGAGTAAAGTTTCTTGATTTAATATCAGTATTTAACATTACTGTTATATGCACATGCATATCCAGATTTAATTTGCAAATATAATCAAATAGCTTTAATTAAAGAAAAATAAGGCTAGGAAACAGTATTATGGTAATACAGTGGTTTTCAACTCCAGTCCTGGAGATCTGTGGGCTACTTCAAAGATACTGGTGAACGGTACTTAAAAAGGAAAAACAGCCCTTCTATCGCAGTGCTTCACTACTGGCAAATTCTTAAGGATGTCAAAATTGAAGAGAGATGAAAAACTCTGGGTTAACTCAAATGTGATTCATTATTCCTGCCTATCGGTTCTTGAACAAAAAGTCTGTGTAATTAAAAAAAAAAAGGGAGAGGGCAAGTAGCTGCAGCACAGAACATCAGCATGTTCAAAGAAGTTGCTGTGGGCACCCAAAATAGCCCTATTATAAAAACTGGCATAAGGTTCACATTACTTAATGCACTGCCAAAATAATTCAGTCAATTTGGTTAATTATGATTAACATGAAAAATGAGACACAAATATCAACTTTATGTAACTCATGAGATCACTGGAAGTGAAGAGAAATTTCAGCACTGAAAATACTGAATACTTGAAGAGAAGAACACAAAAAGGATGTCAAACTGGAAAATGTTAGTCACATTGCCTAAGCTACTCAGGAAAACCACAGAACAGAAGACTTCCATCCCAAAATAGTTTAGAGAATTCAAGCCATGCACAAACTCTATTAATCATTTTTAAATGATACTGTAAGTCAAAAGACGGAACAAAACGAAACCTCCTTCTTCCTCACTCCTGCTTAAATAAAAACTTTGATATAACTCAGATGCATCATTTCTCTCTGCAGCGTTGCTGCAGCATATCAGTGCTATGAGCAGAACTAATGTTGCTAAATGGAAATTATCTGATCAAGCGTTCAAAGATGTAATCCCTTCCAAACTGTCAGACTAACTTTACCTTAAGGGCTAAACCAACTTGAATTTCTTCTGCATAGGCTGCAGGCTAAGAGTGTGCACATACATAGTTACCAGAGATCAGCTAACCTGCAACAACTTGTTACCACTTGGTAAATGGGTTGTGTCTGAATTCTGTGATTTTTCTCCCTGCCCTCAACAATTCCAAATATTTCTAAGCATAATGAATACCTTAATTTCATTATCACAAAGTATACAGGAGAGGAAAGAATCACCTAGGAAACACATATAGCAGTCTGTGCTTGTATTGAAGCACAACAACACCCCAAATACAAAGCTGCATTAATAACTACAATTGCCTATAACAACCTTCATTACCTACAAAAAGAAATTATGTCCATTAAAGCAGCCTCCGAAACTCAGTGGCAACAGATTCTCTGAACATAGAGTTAAAATTGCCTTGTAGTATCTTGCACACTTACAGAAGGGTCAAGTTAGAAAAGCTTAGTTTTCTGGAACAGATGAGGTATTCAGGCTCAAGAAAAACAAGCACTTGGCACATCTCCTTATGAGGGTAATACTGACCTTCTCCCATATGCGATTACATATAACATACCTACTCGGCCTTAGCAGGCAAGACAAAAAATAAAGTAAAAATCTCACATCTTTTCTGTGTAAAGAAAGGCTCGTATTTGAGAGCTGTAGTGAATATAAAGCTGTACTTAATCCCTACATTCAAATACAAAAATTATTCCACATAATTCTTCACATGCTAAACGACACAGGCTCTTTACTCCTTTTGAAATCCCTTTTTGACTCACAGGATGCCTTTCAATATTAGCCCCTCACTTATACACCCTTCTCATATCCCATAGGCAGACTGAAAACCTTTATGACAAGAAAGTCCCTCTGTGTCAATGGCAGCACCAGTTCCAGAAACCATGACCAAAGCGGGGCAGACAAGGTGTCTTAAACCATTTCATTCTATCCTCTGTTTACAAACAAAAGAGGTCAGAGGGAAGATGTAATAGGAACCCTCAGGTCTCTGCAGTAGTCACAATTTTTGCCAAGTACATTCATTAGTCCTGCCATTAACTACAGCTACATGAAACTCAGTAACAGCGATGAGCAGGCAATTTCAAATACTTACCGCAGCTTCAGGAATAAGAGTTGCGTATAAACCCTGTATAATCCAGGGTTTTCAGACATTTGTACTTTGCTGACCTTAGCACTTCTTTCTTTTCTAAAGGAAATAAAATATCCCCTGGTGTATCATCTCCATGCTGACCAAGGTTCTCACTGATAAATAAGGTAGCACTCTGCACTCACTTTGTTCAGGTATAAATCACTTCACCAGATGCAAGTCACTGACGGATCAGGCCCTTTGTATACTTACCTCTACAGGATCTACCATGTTCTGTTTCACTGAGAAATATAATCCTCTAAGGCGTCAGATATTCATCCAGTGCTTCTTTACCACTTCCCGCATATTAGTTTAATGTGAAAATTGAAGATCAGGTTATATAATTGCATTGGCATTTTGTGCCAAAGAGTTTTTAAGCACTAGTATTTGTCATGAGGCTAACTGTGATTTTAGAAGTTATTGGTGCCTATACTGAGGCCCATTCCACATTTTTTTCTAATTTCCATCAAAAGAATCAAAGTGAAGAAATTGGTTTTATTGGATTTTTTATTTGAAATAAGAAATGAAAAATAATAAGGTGGAGCAGTGATAGAACAATGGTAAAGGTGGGAGCTGCAACAGCATAAGAAAGCCCTGGAGACAAACATCAAATGTAATAAAGGAACTACAGGACCAGAATGTGAGCTTTGAAAATACAATTTCTTTTTTGCAAAAATTGAGGTTTCAGAGGCCAACCTTACTTTCAGCCATGCTTTTGTAAAGCCAACCTTTTAGCATTTGTTTGACTAAATATAAAAGCATCGCAGTAAAAAAATAATGGAGCAGCTATCCTGAACAGTGCCATAATGAGATATTTCTGCATATGAAGGAAATATTTTAGTAATATGACCTCTTCCCTAGAGAAAATCTTTTTCACTGCTCAGTATTTTCTCTACTTTTTCCAATAACTGTGTTCAGTTACCTTCTATTCGTACCTACTCTTTGAAATTTCAGATGGTTATAGCCGGTTTTCATTGTTAATTGATCATTTACTATAACATCTCAAAACCTACAACATACAACTAACAGGAATGAAAAAAGGACATAAGGATTAGCAATACAATTACCCAACTGAAAATGTAGTCGATGGAAAAGACTGAGGCATTTTAACAGTCGATTTTGGCCTGTAAAACAAAGAAAATAATTATTTGCACAAACTTACTGTAAGTTCCTAAGCAGAGCCATACTCTTGCTATATTATCAAGTTAGAGAATTATACAAGCATAGAGAATATATATAATTCATCACTACAATATAAAGTTTCTGCTTTTCTGTTCCCAAGTAATTGAAATATTTCTTCCTGAAATCAATGAGTAGGTGAAAAGACATATGTGTCTCATGCAACAGAACTGAATTCTGTTGCACTAATCACAATTTTGGCCATAAAGTTAATTTCTTATCTGAGATATGCTTCGAGGTAATTTCACTTGTGTTGTCAATTTGTTCAGCCTTATCTTCACAATCAACTAATGTACTTTCTGATTCTTCATGACATAAGTGCTATCACATGCCTAAGATAACAATCTTCTCTCAGGAGAGCAAGAGGTGAGGAAACAAATGAGAGTAAGCATTCCAAAAATAAAAAATACTTCATCTCCAAAGTAAGATATCAGTGTACTTGTACAAAAGAGCTAAACTTTCTACCATAAAAAATAAAAGCAGGAGAGGGATGTTCTGCACCAAATGAAACAATGGATACTTTCATAGGCACAATAGGAGACATGTAAAGCATCAGTCCTTTCTTTCCGATCACTATCTACCTACCACATCAGCTATCATATAATTAGTGTCTGGCAAAATATCTTCCTATCTTCTGCTTTCTTTTTGCTCCGCAAATTGAAGTTAAGTGACAGTCCTGGCTCCTCTACACAGGCATCCTACGTGTGTACATTTTTCTAGATGATGACACTTCACTCTTAGCTCAAGTGCAGCTAAGGGCTTTGCAAGCAGAGATAGCAGTGCTGCAGCACGACATGCATGGAGTTTAGTGGCAGCTAACTAGTGCAGGGCTCAATGAACAGAGCAGGGAGGAAAGGCTGCTCTTAAAGGATGCCAATATGCATTTCCACAGCAGCATCAAAACATTTGTTTAACGTGTATGTCTTAAAGAGCTGTGTCAACTAGAAAAGCTGCGTAAACTAACTGATGCATACTCAGTCTCAGTGTATCCGTTCAGAAATACAAAAGATTTCATTTACTTAGGTGAGATCTGATTGTGTTCAGCATTTGCGTAAATTTAGCTAAAGGTCAAAAAAAAGAAAAATAAGCTGGCATAACCTTTGAGAAGTTGTCGGGAATCCTATTGATTATTTTCAGCCCTACATTTTCTTTCAGCTCTAGTAAGAAAGCTAAAGTTGACTGTGAAACCTTTGTTCTCCAGAGCAATCCCACAGCAGTCTCTACTATAAGTAATTATTTATAAGCCTGTGTATCCAATGTATTCTTTTTCCTACGTATGGAAGCCACTAGTAAGAACCTAAATGTGCTAACATTTGCGTGTTAAATGTATACTTCTTGAGATACACAATTTACAAACTGTGGTAAGTGTTAATGTGGAACATATTGTGATAGGCAGGGTATTTAAGGCAGAAGTAATTTTCTAATTAAGGGGAAGGGTAACAGTAGAGCCAGAAAGGTTCTGAGAGCTTCTCATCACAGATAAAATTCTCATCTGATGAGTTCATACCCAGTTCATAAAATAAAACGGGTTGCCACAGTCATATTTCTTATAAATCCAGATGCTACATTCCCATGGGGTAATAGAAAAATAAGTATTATAAAAGATAAATCTACACGATGAAGGCTATGATTTGTACTCGGAGAGAACTTCCTATAGCAAAAGCAGCCCCAATGGAAGGAGGAGCCAGCCATAAATAATAAGCATTCTGACAAATATCATTTTGCATATTAAATGGTGCTGAATCTTCTGCTGTGTCCAAAGTATACCTCAGAAAAATTCTAAATTACATCTAGGAAAGTATTTTCAGACATACTGCAACAATACGTTTTATTCTTCTCTGTTTATTTATTATAGCTTTGTTTCTAAATGCTATAATTGAAAACCTTACTCTCTTCTGTAAATAAGATCGTGTTTCATATTTAAGTTTGTCTGATGTGAAGGATGATCAGAGATAACCACAGAGCACGTTTGCCCCAAAGCAACACATTTAGATTAAAAAGGTCCGACACAGGGCAAGTTTGGGAGAATCAAGAGTTTAGATCTTTTTCTCACCAAGCTACAAGCATTTGCCAAGTGCCAGCTATTAAGAAAAATCTTTGTTTTTAGGCCTACATCAAAGCTCTTTTGATAAAAAACAGATACAGAGCAACTAAAGAACAGCTGTAGCTTCAAGTAATCCACATGTCACAGCAAATGTATCTTATTTACTGCTGCAATACCTAGTATCTCAAAACAAGAGCTGAACTCATGAATGGCAGGAGATAATCTTTTCTGCAAGCGCTGAAACTACTGAAACAAGTAATTTCAGGAGCAATGCAACTGGTGAATCCTGGTTTCCTATAATGCATCGCTCATGATTTCTCACATTTGACAAGTTCAGTACAAAGCTGTTCTCACACTTTGGGTATATAGATGGCTTCCTTCTTCTGCATGACAACTTATTTTCATAAATATTATATATTGACCCGCAATGTATTAATGTTCTTGGTAAAGTCATAAGAACTGTTTTGTTAGATAAGGACTGTAATCTAGACCAGTATGCTGTCTAGCAGTGGTCCGGGGCCTATGTTTTAGAAAAAGAAATTCCACATTTCGAATTCTGTTTCCTGTCGATGAACAAACAAGTCAGTTAATAAAGGCAGTGCTTCAATACCTTCTACTGTCCTCTTCAGGTTTGCTTCCACAATGCTACCCATAGCCAGCAGTCTACTGATAGTTCTTTAGCAGTTGGTTTGTTAGTCCTTCAATAAAATGCTTACTTTAAAAGCAAAACCCAGCTCTCAAAGCCCTTTACTGGGTAAGTGATGAAACTGCTCAGTTTGAAATATAACAGCAAGTAATTTCAAGGAAGATATCCCCAAAGCTTTATGACAACCTTTGCTATGTGATAGACAGTTTCTGCAAGGGTATGTGGAAAGTAAGAGGATCCTGTTCATTAAGTTATCTGGTTAAGGACTATTCCGTATAAAAGAAATAACAAATAAGAAGGACAGTGATAAAATAAACACGTACAGTCACAAAAATACCAACAAATTAGCAGGTGATAACCAAGTCAGTAGAGAAGACCAGAATTCTGCAGCCGCTGATTGATGGGCCATTAAAGGAGCTACTCAGGCTCAGACTTGAACTTTGTCACTGATAAGAAGGAGAAAACATGATTATTGTTAAGTATTATGGGCTATTTGAAGGGGCTTGTGGGACTGTGCAAAACTTAAGGGACACCAGAAGGGTTTTGTGGGATTATGTAAAACTTTCTATGGGGTGTTTAACGGAAGGGCCAAAGACAGGGAAAGGGAAGGATCAGAGTGGATCTGGAAGGAAGAAGTGTGGGAAACTGGGAAGGGGGTTCACCTGGTAAGCAGGTGGGTGCTCAGTGCATTTGTCCGATGGAGCCCTGCACCTGAGCACCACAGTTTATTCAACTTTCATATAAAAGCCCTTTCTTTTTTTTTTTCTGTGTAATCTCCATCCTATGTGTGAATACTGCAAAGTCTATGTACCAGCAACTGAAGAAAAGGTTGTGGGTCACAGGGCCTTTAGGTCTAGGTGCCAACAACTGGAGGCGCTGGGGTGCGAGAAAGGTCTGAGTGCCAGAAACCTGCATGTGTGTTTGTGCGTGTGAGTACGCACGTGTGCACACATGTAAAAAAGGTCTAAATGCCAGCAACTGGAAAGACCTATTCCGTGCATGTGTAATTTGGCAGCAAACTTAACGCGGGACTAGCTGGCAAGTAGGAGGTGACCTGCACACTGGGTAAGGGAGCCCAGGGTCCAGGCATGGATATTAGTCAGATTTAGAGGCCATGCTGATATTCAAGGGATCTGTGAATATGGGTGCATATGCTTGTTAACGTAGCGGGTAAGGGCATGTATGTTTTCACTAGCGAACTGGGTGCTGTTTGGCTGAAGAGGAGGAACAGGACTAGGCTACCTGTACCTGCGTTTTACGTGAGTTCTGGTAGCATTGTTTGAGGGCAATGCTAAGGGCTGTGCTCTGTGTGAGGTAGTCTGTGTGCGTGTAAACGTGCCTCTCTGGGATACATGCTCAGCCTATTAAGACCCCTCCTGGGTCTTAAGAGTGCTCCCAGCTGGGAAGGAGGAATCCCCAGTCCTGGAGTCCACTGGATTCAGTGGCTCCCATAAAGATCTTAACATAGTTTTTTGGTTATTGTGCTTTTTTAATCCACTGTACAGCAGACATATAGGAATAATAAAATAATTTAGTTTAAAAGGAAAGCAGTTAACTTTACTATGCATAAAATTCTGTCAAAAATATCAAACAAAATGTGGAAGAAAAAATACTTCTCTGAACTACAGACGTTTTTATCAGTTAAAATTTATTTTAGAAATCTGAAAAGAACTGCATAGAAGGGAAATACAATTGACAGAATAGAATTGCAAGTAGTTTATCATATAATTAAAGCTATCTTCTGCACAAAGTAGTAATCTATGCTCTTGTCTTGCCTGCTAGCCTTCTGAACATATTTTACCACACCAATCACATCACAGCTTGCCTATGATGATACTATTTACCAATTGAGCAGGATAAGCAGGGGAAAGAATATCTCATCACAATAGTATTTAACGCCCTGCCCTGGATTATATCTTATTTTGTATTTGGTTCAAAATGATGACTAGTTCAAGCTCTTATTCACTTGCTTTCTCTTTTTTCCTCCATTCTGTAATAGCAGCTGCAATCATTATAGATTCTGTATTCTAGCTGACAGTTCCAGGGTGAGATGTGTTGGCAAAGTGTTCTTAACAGGGAACACTGCCTATCTGTGGGTAGTTAATTTGGCGAAAAAAGTCTTTGAAGAAAAAAAAAAGAATTAATTCAAATACGGGGTTTTTTTGAGTCTTGTTGAGTGTCTTGGCCTGATTTTTTTAAATGATTCCTTTATGAAGTTAGACGGAGGAACTGGGAGTATGCCAGTTCAGAATACGTGAGTTACAGGACAGAAGTTTAATAAAGAACGATGGATTCAAAATATCACTTAGCTATAGGGTAAGTCATGCAAATGGAACTGTCCCCAGTTGGGGAAAAGTGGGATTTGGGAAAGAATGATTTACAGACGCAAAAATACTGTCAACAGCACAGTTGTATCCCAGGGAAAATACTCTCAATCACTTCTTCTTCTTCACACTTTTTATCCTACAAGCACTTGAAAATATTTTCCATTTAAAGATGATCTCAATTCCTAGAATAATAATCGGTTTTACTCTTGCTTTCAGTAAACTGAGTTTCTCTTACACTAACTGACCTGCTCGGAAGCACATGCTCCCCATGTCTACTTGCTAACAAAAAGAGCAATATGGCAGGTGGATGCTTGCTTAAATGACCTTGGAGCACACTGACTGATTACAGTTGAGCTGTCAGGTACCTCCCATTTTTCGCTTGCATTACAGTTGTCCATGGCAGCAAGATGTCTCCCATTGTCCCTGTATAGGGAGACAGATGTCCCCAATTATCATTTAGATGGTAATAAGACATCACTTCCCTTTGCCTGCCTAATACGTACGCATCAAGTTCAGTTTCTTACCTACCAAATGTGTGGTGCGCTTGGGTTTTCTGATGAACAGGAGGGGCTCCTCATGTGCAATCCGACTTTCTGAAATCACAGCTGTTTCCCCACATTAGAGTGAAATTAAGTTTTCTATTTGTCTATTTGTCTTATATTTGTCATGGAAAAAAGGAGGAACACTAAAATATAGAATATGTACCTTTCAACTATAGATGAATTTTATGCACGTTAAACTTAAGGAGTTTGTGCACCAAGTACAGCCAAACAATATAAGCATGCACTGAATATGCCTTCGTAAAGAAAATATGCTGATGTATGGTTATACCATGTTGAAGTCTCCAGGACAGTAATTTTAAGTTAGTAATTACACTAAATTAGGCAAAAACATCTTTTTGTTTGTTTGTTTCTGATCTTGACAATGGTTAAGAGCTAGCCTGGCACTACAAAAACACAATGATAAACCAGTTTTCAGTAATAAGTGTGAAGCACTCGACAAGTGAACAAGACCACCTGCCTGCCTCACGTATTTGCCCCCTGCCAAGGGCGAGAAGGCACACCCAGCTCTCCCCGAAGTCAGACATCGCAGCGATTCCCAGCCGCGGTGCCCACTGGTCTTGCTTAAGAGTTACAAGGGAGGGGAAAACGGCTCTTCACCCTTCGCCAAGGTGAGAACTGAGCCCTAGCAGCCGTACGCGGCACCTTCTTTAGCACTGACGGGCGAGCGGCGGGCTCTGAGGCAGCTCAGCTCAGCTCAGCTCAGCGCCGCGCGGCCGTTGGCGGAGCCAGCTACCTGCTTTGCAGGACTCTCACCTCATCTGATCTGAGACGTGTCAAATCCTCCACTTACATTTCCAAACAGTTCTTCAAAAAGGGCTACTTTAGCATAAATTTTAACTAGCAAGGCTCCAGGTCCTTGAACAGGCTAGTGAGTAGGAAGTTTACAGTATCACATAGTATTCTCTTCTAATTGCTTCCCAGTATCCCTTCTTTCCGTTGTCAAAGCCAGGGCTGCTGAAATAAGATTTAGGCTCCCCATCAGAGAAGTCTCGGCTCAGCCCTTCGCTCCGCCAAAGACGCAGGAACAGCTTTGTCTCAAGCCTCTATCTAGGGAGGGAACGTGCCTCTCGCTCCGGCCCCGCTCGCCAGAGCTCGGGGCAGGAAGGAGGATCCCTTTCCACCCGGGCACACCAGGCTGGCAGATGCAGCAGACGCTGCACAGGGACGCTGCTTGGATTCTGGTGAATCCCTCTAGACTGTGAATGACATTAGGACAGTTCCCGGTGAGCACTAGGTCTCGCCTCAGGTGCCTGGTCCGGTGGGGGCGGGTTGGGTCTGTCCAGTCGAGTGTAGTTTATGAGTAGATTTCAGCTCTGGAGATTGCACTTAACTGACAGAAGGATACGAACGTCTCCTGGTATCACGTGCTTTTCAGAGATGGCAGCAAGTGGGGTGGGGATGAAGGGATGAGGGGGGGCGTGGGGTGAGAGGTGATCCCAGCGTGTCGGTGACGTCTGGGTGGGCCTCTGCCCCTTCTCAGCCTGTTTGTGGCGAAGCGAGGGAGGCTAGCTCAGCCCTCTGAAGGATGGGAGCTGTGCTTGTCTGTAGCTTCAGCCTAGATGGTAAGGGATCCTTTCTAAAGTAGCTGTTTTCAAGGGAAAACAAAGATGCACTAGACAAAGATAATGAGCAAGTAAAATATGGATGTCAGGAGTCTAAGTTGCCTTGGAGTGCCATTTTTTTACTTGACTTTAAATATCACGTATGATAAAAGCTTGCGTTTCTGCAGTAACCAGTAGTTTGGATTTCTCCAGTAACAGAATAGCCAGGTGCCCATCACTGAAGCAAATATTACAAATATCAGCAAGATACAATTTTTGTAGCCAAACATATAAGTGGTGATCCATCTTGGAAAGTGTATAGAACTGACCCATGCTTCTAAACAAGAGAAAGTATCAAATTATAATCTTAGCGTAACTTTAAAAGATCTGGAGAATCACTTTGGTCCAAACTGTGTTCCAGTCATGTTTTACTGTCGCTTCTTGCTTCTTTCCTTCAGCAATATCTGCTAGTATTTTTGACCTGTTTGGACTTACAGCAGCTGAATTGACTCGGTTTTTTTCTGCTGTCAGAATGCTGGGTTGGTCAGAAACCACCTCTGTGACGTGATCACAGATTCTACAGAGAAACGAGCTTGCTTACTCTGAGAGTCTTTGCAAAAAATACAGGCTAAAGTCGCCACAAAGACTGTCCTCAAAGGCTAAATTTTCTTCTCTAGAAAGAATATAGTTCTATTTAATGTCTTGCAGTTTATTATAGAGATTCTAGTAAACTAAGTAATAGTTCCAAAGAGGTTTTTTGGAATGCCTACTTCTTTTGATGAATTACCCTGCTACCATGTTCTTGAAGTTGTATTGCAGCGCTGTATATTCCTACCACCTTCCACATTTAGTAGGAAGGCTCAGTGGCCTAAGTGAGTTAGGTTTCAGCTCCTGATCGTTTCTGAGCTCCATGCATTTAGGATTCAAGCTAGCATCTTCATCGACTCCTACGCTGTCCTGTGCACACCTGACAGCTTTAAGTCATGCTAAGAGGAGGATTTTAGGATTGCATTTTACTGTATTATAGGAATGTTGTGCAGCCATCAATATCCAGATTCTTAATCATACGGACAGTCTCATTCTTCTTTTGCCTGGGTCAGTTGGAGTCTGATAGCAAATTTGAAGCAAGGCCAGAGACATTAATGCAGAGTTTAACCTACATGCAGTGATTAATCAATTTGTGCTAATTTAAATATTTGGTTAAGAATTTGTTTTATTTGTTACGGTATTATTTCATGTGTGAGGTTATATTCAAACAGAAGTGTAAAGAATTAGCATTCTCACCAATACAAAATATTTTAAAATCCATCTAACATGACTTGTTACTGGTCAGTCTTGTTTGGTTCCAAGGAAATTCTACTGAAATATTCAAATTAGTTACTCTCTTCAGGTTACTGAGTGCCATTTATAAATCGTGCAGCCTGAGGAGGTGGGCATTGTTAATTCCCTCTCATTTAATCATTGTCACTTTTGTTTTTCAGATGTGTTCTAAAAGAATTGGAATCTTTGGGGAAAGCACTGTATGGAGCAAAATTAATTGCGCAAAGATTTCAAGTTCGAAGCTGTTCTCACCTCAAGAATCCTGTGAGCGGTTCGGCCTGTTTACTTTCCATGATTGAGGACGGCAATCCTCATCACTTTTTTGTTGCTACACAGGTAAATGCTCATGGGAGATGTAACTCCATTTCGTTTTAAACTGATCCTTTGATACCTGAGGATAAGGAAACCTGCAGAAACTGTGATTATGAGATTTTAAATAGCTCGTGGAAACAGATCTTTAAGTCTTACTTGATTTTAAATGTATTTACAGATTATGTAGTGGGGAATATGTTGGTTTTACTTGTATCACTTGTTTGTTTTGCTCAAGAAGCATATTATTACAGTTTAGCACAAAGTGTAGGCAACATTATAGAATAGGTATTGACATGGAAGAAAGCAATGGATGAATGTTAGTGTGTATGTTGAGTGTGGAAAAAAAACATTCTGTAAGCACAGTGCATACCTTCCCGCACCAAACTGTTATGCTTATTAGTCTGTAAAGTGAAATTACCTTGTGTTAAACTACTATTCAACTGCAATTTTTAAGAGTTGTGGAATCTTTAACTAAAAAATGAAGGTAAAACTTGTGTGCAAATAAGAAACTTTGTCTTTTCTTAGGTCTGGTGTTGAGAGTATGTCAAATATATACCAATATATAAAATGGTTTACAGTAACATTCTGTATAATTTCACAAGATACAAGGAGTTAAAAATGACTTGTTATAGAAAAAAATACATTACTTCTTGTAGAGTCCTAGAGTAAATAGCATGGACTGGGACTTTTCCCCACAAATGTACCTATGGACATACATGCAAGGAGAAAGGAAACAATTTATTAATTTTTCCTTGAAGAGTGTAGCTAATCAGAAGGATAAAAGTTGAAATTTAAATTGCTCTGAAAGATGCTGCTAGAGATATCTGCTAGATTAAGTGTCTTATCTTTTTTTATAGTGTAATTTGTCTTTATGGTTTTGTGTTAAAAGTAGGTGTATTTGAATTGCAAATATTGTTTAATCCTCAAATATTGACTGAAGTATTTAATTTTACAGGACCAGGATTTAGCAAACAAAGTGAAAAAGAAGGCTGGCGTTCCTCTCCTCTTTATTATTCAGAACACTATGGTGCTAGACAAACCTTCACCTAAATCTTTGGCATTTGTTCAGATGTTGCAGACCAATCAACTTGTCCCAGAGCACCAAAAACAGAGTATTGTGCAACTTAAAGAAAAGGAGGGACTAACAAAGCAAGTAGGTGAAAAGAGAAGAAAACGTAAAAGGGCAGGTGGCCCCAATCCTCTCAGCTGTCTGAAGAAGAAAAAGAAAACACAGGAGAGCAAAGAGCCCTCTGCTGAAAAGAAGAAAAGAAAAAGAAAGCGAAATAGGGTTAAAACAGAAGCCGTGCTATCAGTGGACAAGAAAGAAGAACAAATCTGTCTCTGAAATCAATACAGGACTTGAAAACCATTGCTTGAAATTTGTAAAAAGAAAGGTTAATCTGCAATAATGTGAAATTAAGTTATTAATATTAAAACTTATTTTTATGAGGTGTTACTACTTATTATTGCATCCTCAGTATTTGCAGGTTATCACCCTAATAATTCATTCTATTATTCAGTATTTGGGTTTGTGACAAAATATTCAGGAACCTTCATGATTCATTATTCTCTCCGGTATCTTGATTAAAGTTAGAGATTTCACATGTTCATCAGCAGTTTTTAGAAAATGCTTCCTGAGCTTCACATGAATTTTTGGTAGGATACCCATCTTCTTTCCAGTTTTTACTAAAGCTAGTTTTGACAGCTGTTTTACAGAATCTGAAAATGATTTAGAAGAGCACTATGTTTTATGTGTCTTTATTATTTGGCTATAGAGCTGCTCTATAACAAAGTTAACAAAGGTTAACTCTCTCGCAGCGTTACTGGATGATCTCTGGAAGTCCCTTCCAGGCTAAATTATTTTGTAAGTTCTGTGTAAACAAATACGTCTATCGTTCATGGTCTCCATTTAGTAAGGAGATGCTGTAGGATGTGTGATTGTTTTGATACTCCTGAAATGTATTATTATGACATTCCTCCTAAGCTTGATGCCTTGCCTTGCCTCACTTTATTCATTCGTGTAAGCTGGTGTCTAGTCTGGCAAATTAGATCCTAAAATATGAGGAAAGCTCAAATCAAATCAGATTCAGGCAGCTCAGAGTTAATCAGGATAGCTTAATGATTTTGCCAGAGCTTCATTTTTTTTGTCTTGTCTGTGGAAAGCTTCAGGGACTGTGCAGACTGCCACGTCAGCGCTGTGTGCCTGTTCTGTCTGCATCTCTAACTCGAGCATCTCAGCAAAGAAGGGCTTGCTTTAATCCTTCTCCAAAGATACATGTGGTGTTCTTTGGCTCGATAGATGGGAGCTAGCTGTTTATGCCTAACTCTTTTACAATCTCACTAGTCAGGGACTAGCGTTCTAGCATTTAAATAGGGAAAGTGTAACATAAACGTACTGAATCAAAGCACTGCCTAACCTCTAATGCCATTGCAGTACAGCACAGCTGTGGGGGACTTCTCAAATGGGGCGAGCTGACAGTGACAGGAGCAATATTCTGTTGCACTTCTTTCATTGTTCTGTAAGACAGAATGGAATTATATTGGAGGCAGGAGCTGCCAAAAATTATATTTATAGAGTATCTGATTTTCTTTAGTTGGTATTTTGTGTAGCTTGCACGCTTGATAACGTTAGGAGATAGAAGTGAATAATTGAAATGATGTAATACAGGGGTATGCAATATAATACGTAATTATCATGGCATAGGTATGCTATTATATTGCTCCCAGTACTATCTTACCAATTTTAACTTTACTTAGTGCATTTCTGCTTAAACAAGATGTAATTCCTAAAAAGAAACTTTTTTTCTTCACTTACGTGAGGTTAGGCCTTGGTTTTAAAGTGATCCTTAAATGTATACATCATATATTTTGCAATATGTTTCTTGCATATGCATTATCCACACAGATTCTTAATATCTACAGTATGTGCATGCTAGGAGCATATGCAGCTATAACATATAATGCTTTTATATTGTTTTTTTCTTTTTTTTTTTTTCCTCCAAATTGTAAGGACATTTATTTCACAGAGTTTGAGAAATCAGCTTGAGTAATGAGAGTTAACCAATCTGACAGGAAAATTGCAAGGTCATTCCCTAGAATCTGTAGAGGCTTCCTTCAAGCTCAGGAAAGAGATGCTCGTATATCCAGTGCTTATAGCACAGTTCACTGCTGTTGTAGACACAGATCAAAACTGTTCATCACAACAAACAAATATTTGGAGTGCACTGTACCTTTTAGTTTTTTGTATGAGAAACTGCAGCCTGGGAAGTGACCACTAGAGACTGGAGCAGCAAAGAAGGATCCTGTACTTTAGATGAAAGCTTTAATTAAAAATCAAAAGCAGTCATGCACATCATGCTATTGTTTCTCTCTTGGTTGCTAATACATATTGAGTCCTGAAGAGAAAGTTAATAACTCCTGGAATATCCTTAATGCAGCCTAATTATTTAATATGTATCACCTTTCTCAAGCTGTCCTACTCCTTTTCTCATTTATTTGGGAATAATATAATGTTAATGTAGTTTTGCTCACATTCCCATAAATGTTCCTCGCATTTCTTGCCCTCCCCAAACCCACCTACAGTCAGGGAAATGCTGCTATATAGGGAGCTTGGAGCAGAGTTTTTCACAGATGGTTCATCTTCAAAATCTCATTCTGAGTAAACAGTATAGTAAAGCAGTAACTTAGGATTTTTTTTTTTTTTTTCATTTGAGCAGAAAACAAGCCCTTAGTATTTACAACAGCTGCTTTCATTGCGGGTGCAACACAAAACTAAAATATGCCCTTTTTCTTAAGACAATAGGCAAAAAATGAACATGTCTACTGCAGAAAGAACAATTTTAACAGTCTCCTAATGACTCCCACCTTAAGAAGTTTGAAAACAATATTTATCCATGTGTCCTTAGTGTTTTTGTCCATGCAAACTGAGTCATGCTGTTGCCATTGAGAAAGACTGGAATGAAAAGAGTGAACTCTTAGAGGAAATCAGTAAAGGCTGTCTGCAGCTGTTGGCTACTGAGGTCAATAACATACCCTTCCGTTTCAGGAAAGAGCTGCTTAGGCAACAAGCATAAACTGAAAGGCTATATTTTTATTATTAAATTAGTAAACCTAGACTCTGACAGTGAGCCCAGGTGGCATGGACTGGCCTGCGGCCATACCAGGCTTTCGCAACCTCCCAAACAGCAAGGCTGCCTGTGAACTGCCGGTGTGGATGGTCTCTGGCCTGGGCCAACTATATACACCTGGCAGTAAACTGGTGGAGGTTGAGCAGGCCTGGGCTAGAAATGATGCCAGTGTCCCTTCTAAGAATTTAAGAGTGCCGATTACTGGGAAGGTTCCTAGGTGTTATCTAAAACCCTGTTGTAGAAATACCCGTAGTGCTTCTTGGATCTAGCTCTGCTGTCATAAGGGCTTCAACTCAATGTTTTGCCCAGACCTATGATGGCTAGTCTCAGTCGCTTATTTATCAATATAACAAATGCTCTAGCAATTTGGCAAAATCTCTACTACAGACAAGGTCCCCAGTGTGTCTTTTCTAATAAAGTTTAAGATCATTTTGTTGCAGCACGTCTGAGGGACTGGTGTTGTTTTGAGTACTACAGAAAAGCAGAGATAAATTGAAAGGAGCTGGAGTGAGAAGTTCTTTGGGGCTATCAATTTCCTCTTTTTTTCAGACAGGATAAATATATACCCTGAATCCTAGGCAGTACCTCACAATTATTTTTTTTTTTTTTTGTGATGAGGGAAATGACAGTGGTAAGCAACAATGTATGCTGCGTGTGCAAAGTAATAGGAAAAGAAAACAGTAATGCCTCAGCCACGGTCTGCAGGGCGTTAATACCAAATTTAGGATGAAGAGTCTCGTCTAGCAGCATCAGAAGATATTTACCAAGAGAGTCTGCCAATTCAATTGGCTGGATTTATACATTGGTGTGATCTGGTATTGTACGATAAATCGCTCCCTGAACATCTGTTAATAACAGTAAATAGATGAGTTAATTAGAAGCTTCTGGAACCTGGCATGTTTATGAATCATTAAAGTAGATATGAATACGGTGTGACTTGAAGAATAAATGCGTTCTGGTGATGAAAAGAAAATAGGATGTCCAGAGAAGTCCTGCTCATTTGTCTTCTGCTATACTGACACAGTGTGAGTGACTTCTCGATCAGCTTTGATGTGTTCCTGCAGTCTTTTGAATGTGTTCTGTCAGATACAAGATGACGAACGTAAGAACAATACCATTATATATAGTTATAATGCATCTTCCATACAAGAGTCTGGAACAACAAACTACTGTATGTATCATACCTCTATGTGGGCGTAATATCTCACAGAGGGAGCAACCATCGATACAACAAATGAGCAAATAAGAGCCCCAGCAGGTGTTATTTACAATTTCAGGGAAAAAGACGGCATTATACAGAGAGAGAATGACAAAAAGCAAACTTTTAGTACCCAGAGAGTACTCGAGGAGTGAAAGAGAGAATGCACCTCGTGATTTAGGAATAGACTAACCGATGCTGTGGAGAAGGGTTTGTGATGTATTTTGGTAATGATTATGTCTGTGTGCTCTGAGCCCAAAATTCATCTCGGAGAACTCAGCTGTCTGCCCACAAAGGCAGTCATTTTGAAAAAGTTGCTTCAGCTTGTCATAGAAGAGACGGGCTGGGCTCCCTCGGGGGGACTTTATCTCCTGATTTCTTCTGCTGTTCAGCCTGAGAGTACACAGCTGCACTTTGTGTATGGATACAGGAAAACAACGAAGCTGCTAACAAGGATCCAGTCAAAAGCAACCCAAAGCCAAGAGCTGGAAGGAAGGAAAGGGAGTAGATTAGTTACTGAGATTTAAAATAAACCAAGGAAGACAAACAGAGAGAGAGAGAAAGAGAGAGAGAGAGAGAGAGAGAGAGGGTCTCTGGGTGTTAACTGAAGGAAAGGACTGGCCAAGAGTGAAAGGTGAAGCAGAAATGGCTTAGCTGTCAAGGAGAGTAGGGAATCGAGTAATAAGCCATAAATGAGTAGAAAAATCTTTCTCATTCCCTTAAGAACGTTTTGTTGCCCTTTCTGACTCAATTTCTGCATCTTTAAAACAGGGAGCTGGATTAACTAATGCACAGCAAAAGCCTATCACAGATACTGTATTTATGTCTCAGAGTTGGCACAGAGTGTAAGTTTCATTATGTCAAAGCATTCCTTGTTTTTATGGTTTTTCAATATTGCAGGCTTTGCACCACTAGCAGGTTTGCAGCCAAATCCTTCTTCCATAGAGCTAGCCTGACATTACACGTGGCTCGCTGCCTTGCACGCAGGTACTACATCCAGGAGCTAATCCTATCCATGCCATTACTGATAGGGTGAATCCATGCAGTTAGTTGCTCCTGAGAAGACTGGCAGCAATAGTCTGGGACAGACTTAGGCTCTTCTGACTGTAGAAATCATGACCCAGTGCA